AATTATTCAGCACAAAAAGTGGAACAAAGCACCACAAAAACGCACAGCAAAATGGCAAGAATGAACTCAGACCTACAGCTAGTTACACTGAACATAAATGGATTCAATGCCCCAGGCAAGAGACAGAGCAGAATGGACAAGAACACAGGATCCTTCCATATGCTGCCCACAAAAGACAAATCAGAAAGGGGGAGACAGTCTACATTCCCATCAACAGAGGAATGATTGAACAAACTTTGGCACACGCACACTCAGTGGAATGCTACACAACACTGAAAAATAAAAATGAATCTGCAAAACACCTCACAACATGGATGAACCTGGAGGACATTATGCTAAGTGAGATTGGCCAAACACAAAAGGACATACAGTGTATGAGACCAATGTTGTGAAAAGTGGAGAAAAGGATTTCTTAGCAAAAGAAACCACCTGTGATGGATAGGGTGGAAGTGGGAGAGGGGAGGGATTGTTCACAGGCGTAGACACACGTTAGCAAGGGTGACTGGACCGGAGGTGTACAACAGGAGGAAGGTTAGCAGAGGAAAGAAGGGAGACACAGGCAGGAATGCAACAGTTAAGTGACTGGAGGTAAATGCTGTAAATTGTTGGTATGTGGAGGGGATTGCTGACATTGTAATGAAGCAAAGCCTATGATGGGTTAACTGTGCTGATTTGCTCTGTAAACCTTCACTCAATTCACAATAAAAAGTTTAAACAAAATAAAGTAAATCTATCTGTAACCTTAACAACGACATAGTCTTACTTCAAGCCCTAGTTCAATTCTGATGCCTACCACTTACCCTAGTGCTAACCACAACCTTATCAATAAACGAAGGCCTCAGCCTAGGGCAGACTCAGTAAGAGTCCCAACCCTAACCTCCCTCTTTAGTCCTATCCACTGATGTCCTCCCAGATCCAACTCATCCCAGTCTCCTGTTGTCAGTCTTTTGGGGAGCTCACTCCAGTGACAAACCCCAAGCAGGGCAGCATAAAGAGACTTCTTTCCCACCTAACAACACTCTTGATTTCATTGCCCCATCACACCATATGTGAGGTTGTGCTATCGTTTCAGAAATGCAGAGAAAAGGTTCTAGTGTCTGAGGGGAACCAAGAACTCTGTGATGAGACACGATGGGTCTGAAGGACCTGTGGTTTAGCCTCCTTAAACACGGCTGCTCTATGTTCACACTCTGGACAGGGGATTGTGTAATTCAACTCAGAGCTCCAGCATGCAAGGTGAGATCCTAGGGCCTGTGATCAAATAAGGAATCAAAAGTCAAATAAGCCACGTACCCCCAGGGCACACACAGGGAAAGAGGAAGGTCCCAGTGAGAGTGGAGCAGGGTCTTGGGATTCAGTCCTTTGGACTCTTCACTCACCCACTCCCTCATACACAGAGCACAGAGCTGGTCCCCCAACAAGTCTGCTTTTTAACTAAGAATTATTTAGGGTTATCAGCTGCTCATCATTTCCTGACGCATTTCTCAATGTCTAATTAAATGCTGCCTGTAAACCCGATGGAAACACGGCCACTAAGCAGTCTGAAGGCAGATGAATGTTTGGTGCACACTGAACTGACAGTCACAGCTTTTGAAATTCTTACTTTTGAGTCCATGGCTGTGTGAAACCGTCTCCCTCACTCCCAACTGCCTAGACTGGAGTCCTTCTCCCTGTGGTGGGCTCTGACCTGAAATGGGAGAAGGAGGGGAGAAGACAGTGTTGAGGAAAGAGAGTGTGGCAGGTTCTCCACCTTCAGCCCTTCATCCGGGCTGATTTCTAGGGAGCAGTGGGGCTTCTTGCTGCAGAAATGGTGATTCAACCACTGGTATCCAATCCCACAGATTCGGCCTCAGTGGACCCTTCAGATCCTGAACAAACACTGGGTGTGAGGTCTCTACAAACCCTTCATCCCCTGCCTTAAGATTGTGAAACCTCCTCAAGTTTTACATATTGTTCTAAATTCACATACTAACTCCAACTCAGAATTAAAAAGTTATTTATGAGTCTTAAGCGCCTGTAACAGACGAAAGAGAAATAGGTCCCTGTAGGACCTGACTGCGCATGCCCCGCACTGCCCCACCAAAGTCCTGCCCTGAAGTAGCCCCGGGAAAGGACGGGGAGCCCGGGGAGCAGGGACTGGAGGGGCTGGAGCCAGCTGTGCGGACTCAGGAGAGACCCCGAGCCCGGACGTCCCGGAGGCCCTGACTCTGCCCGTCTACGATGCACCGTGTCCCTGGAGGACGCACACGACGTTACCTGGGAATGCACCGAGACACAGCCAGCCCCCTCCGGGCCGAGTCGGACCAGCTCGGCTCCAGGAAATGCCCCGGTTCGGGAGCAGCCCCGGGATGACGAAGAGGCCGGGCCTGAGCAGCCGGAACAGCCAGTTTCGCTCCCGGCCGGGACCGCCTGTGCTGCCGGCACCGAGGGAGGGAAACACGTGGGACTCTTGTGGGAAAGACCGCGGAAACCGGAGCGTGGCGGCATGTGGCGCGGAGCAGTGACGCCACTTCTGCTTCCGCTTCGTGTACCATCGATTAGAAACTCCCTGGTCCCGGTGTGAGAACAGGAAACGTGGATGTGAGCCGACCGGGAGCGTTCCCCCGGTGATCCTGAGCTCCAGTGCCTTCTACTTGGGTTTTGCATCTGGGCTGTTCTGTCTGGATTCCAAGCATGGAGAATTAACTGCGAATGTAACCTCGGGAACCCTACACGGTGTCGATCTGAGTCGGAACCAGATGCACTTAACAACAACGTAACCTGACGGCTTTCTGGGGTGGCGTTGTAGGATCAGCTCTGAACTGGGAACCAGCTCGGCGGGCGGTCACATCCACCAGCTGCTGGTCCTCGGAAAGCCCATACAGCATCGCTGAGTGGGACCGGACTCGACGGTACTTCACAGCAGCATGTAAGCGGAAATGCAGGTTTCAGGTGTCAAAGATGTCCATTATCTGTGTTCAGACTCTGGACAGGAGATTCTGTTGGTATTTTCTTATTTGTCCCTTTTAAAATCAGTTGCCAAATAAATATTAGCCAATTTATAGACTTGTCTTATGTCTGTTGTGTTGGCTTCCATTTCATTGACTCCTGTTTCATGGTTGTCTTGTGTCTCCCATCTCTCCCTAGAGCAGGGCACCAGCTGTGTAAACCTACACTGATCTTTCTGAGAGCTGAGAACCTGGCAGAAAGGAGTTTTTCAGGATGAGTCACACAGATCAGCAGTCTTTACCACTGAGCATCATTGGCCAGCCAAGCTTTCATATATTTTGGGGGAAACACAGTTCATGAGACCTCATGTACAACAAATGGAAACACTGCCCAGTCCTGCATTCGTCGCCATCTTTGAGCCCATTTTTGAAGCCTCTATGTCATTGCATCTCATTGAGGGGTTTTTGCTTTATCACTGACCCGTTACTTTGCAAGCATGATGTCCTTTTCCAGAGATTACTTCTGTCGGATGCTACAGTAAATTAGTGACATTAAGTACACAGGTATATATCAAAAACCCAAAACCACTGCCATCTAGTCGATTCCAACTCATAGCAACTGTCTTTAGACAGCAATGAGCCGACGTGGACTCTGCCCTCATGAAGCTGGCACAAAGTCAACTCCCGGAGTGCAGAGAGGCGGGCATAATCAAAGAAAGCAGCCCGATGCATTGCTCACTGAAGGGCTGGTGGTACACAGAGTTGTCACTGCTCATCTGTAAAAGTCACAGAAACGGAAAATCTTGATTATAGGTTATAATAATATAACTACAGAGTACTTGGTCTCTGTGTTGTGTGCACCACGATAGGGGCTTCCCAGGTTTTCTTTATTTTATTTCCAAGGGAGTTTTAATTTCCTAAATGGAAACAAAACAAATCATGATTCTTGCTATGAAAAATATCCCCCCTAGAAAGGGTTCTGGAGAAGCCCAGCATTGGAAGTCTATAATTTAAACAGGATGATGTCCACTGGGACCTCACAGAGAGGATGATTTGAAACAAAAACTGAGTAAGTTGAGGGAGCAAGTAATGTGACTATAAGAGGCTTAGGAATCCCCAGAGAGAGAGAGAAGCATGTGCAAGTTCCCCTGCTGGTAGGTCACCTGAAGGATGCCCTGTGTGGCTCTGGCTCTCCTCATTAGCCAGCCGTCAGATCCAACCTAGTGACCGCCCAGTGTGCTTGGTGATATGTGGACCCAACAGGAAAGTATATGTCTGAACATGTAACTGCCACTTGCTCCTGCTCTATACC